TAAACATCTGGCTGACTGTGCAACCAATCATCATCATCATCATCATCATCATCATCATCATCATCATCATGGCAATGTATGAAGCAGTATATGGATTTGTTGACAGCAATTATATTTTGCAAAATAAAAAAATAGAAAGAGGTATAGTGAATGGTAAACTAGGCTTACGTATACTGAATTTTCTTATCTCACACCTTTAATTATTTTGGCTTGTTCTTTCTCACTCCCTTTCTGTGCTTCAAATAATGTTTGCTTACTGTGAAAAGGAATAACATGATGGCTATGCATGCATATGTGTGTGGCCCCAGCCTTTCAAATTGTCTCATTACCTTGAATCACTGTATCACTCATTTTTACGGAATCTGAATATTGTCTGGCATGCTTCTAGCAGGGCCAAGGCCCTTTGAAATATTTGTAGCTGCTTTCCCAAAGTTGATGCCCTTCAGAAATGTTGACTCTCATGTTGTCTGAGAACTATGGGAAGTGAAGTTCAACATACATAAGGAGTACTAGCTTAAGGAATCACAGTAACTCATTCACAATTTTAAGAAAATCTTTCTTTTGACATTTTCATTCACTATTTTAAGAAAATCTTACTTCTGACATTTTCACTGAAATAGGTAATGTAGTTGTGTGTTTTCAGAATTTCTTCATGAATGAATGAAGCAGATGTAATATTTTAAGAGAAATTAAAATTATCTGAAAGCATTATGCAACTCCACAATCAAGGTTTCTGTCTTGAGATGGGTTATGGCAGGATAAATTATTTCTGCACTTTCTTTTTCTTTTTCTTTGGAAAAGATTCAGCTCGAATCAGTTGACGCAAGGACTAGCTGAAGCTCCTATTGGTTCATGCCCATAACATCACCCTCATATTTTCTGCTTAGCTGCTACTGTAATTTTATGATTTGTTTTTAGTTTTTGTGACTTAAAAAAAAAATTGTAACGGTAGATGGACATGTTTGCAAATAAACATGCATGCTATACTTTAGATTTTGCTTATTGACTGCTCCAATATCAGCTCCTCCAATGAAGTAGAATCATGTGGATTCTCTATATATGAACAAACTGTCCCATCTGGATGATCCTCCCAGTAAAGGGAAAGACAGTAGCATTATATCAGAGATTGTGAGGTTTTGGTTTTGGTAAGTATAACAAGAACTGACAACAACTATTGTAAATAGAACAAAAAGAAAAGAAAAGCAAAGCTGTTAAATCGTTACTCTTAGAATCAGTTCATTTTGTGATCTTTTTTCAAACTTTTTTTTATTTCTGGGGCAGGGATGGTCTCTTGTATGGCAAAGAAATCTCCACAGCATCTTTCTGCAACTGGAAATGTTAGATTTATTGGACTTAACACTACCAGACCTGGGCTATAAAAATCTGGACATCCACTAGATGGCTGGAAATTAGTATAGATGATATTGTAGTTAAAAAAAAAAAAGATGCATTGATATGTAAATTTGTCTTCACTTACTTTTAGTTCCAGCTTCAGTGGCCTTGTCTGTTTTATCTGTCTGGATATCAGGGATCTGAGAACTGTGGCCTGTTATGAAGAAGCCCAATGAATGTATGTTCTAGACAAGCAGCATCTCAAGAAAGAAACATCTTAAAACTGAGGTAGGCTGGATAAATTAAGCATAGTGCCCATCCACACAAGATCATATCTGTACAGTTAGTCCAGGATACCACCTAGCAAAATGGCAGGAGAGCCCTCACCTTGAAGTTAACAAAGTAACAAATCTTACCATTCTTGCAAAGAGGGCATGGAATTTCTATAAATTATTAACTGCTATCTAACTGCATGATTGGTTATTGTTGTTTTCACTAGTTTGTAAGTTTTGGATTTTCCAAATTCCAACCAGGAATCCATGTCAATAACAGGTGTTAGCACTACCATGGAAACTCATCAACTTAGGCATATCCTGTGGGCAATTCTTCTAGATGGCCAGGCTCATATTATCATATTTTGAACTCATTTGGGAAGACCTAGCTTCTCATATGTAGAAGACATGGGAAAGGTGGAAGGAAAGAGAAGATGACCAGCAGCAAGGTGGACTCAATTACAGTGTCAACGGATGCACTGTATCTGTAGGAAGACCTGACAGACCAGGCTGAGGCCAGATTTTCCTGGAGAAAATTTACATGGTCACTAAATGGCATGTAGTCAGTCTAGAAAGCATTAACTTTTGAGAGAACAACAAAATATAACAAAAAATGTTCAGGCTGTAAAAAAAAAGGATCCTGTCTTATGGCTGTGGATTGACTTGGCTTGGTTCCAGGGTTAGTTACACTAAGATCCATTGAAAACAGCTAAGCATATTTATTATAATTAATTTTTCACATAAATTAATGTGAAGGTAGCTGAACCTGACTGTAGCTTGGAATGTAAGGCTGTGTCTGTACCTCATCCATGTTATATCACATCTGTTTACTTATTCCACCCATTTTTCCCATGTTTAAATGACAAAAAATCTGCATGTATTGTCACATGCAACTTTCTCTAATAGGCTCTATGTTTTTTAAAAAATTCAACTATCCCTAATATACATATATCTGTATGCGGCTTTCCATATTCTTTTGGTTGTTTTTAATTTAACTAGTAATATTAGATGCTTTGGGCATGAACTTCCTGAATATACTTGATTTTGTGCAGTTATTGAACTTAAGAATAAAGGATAGAAAGTAGACTCTCGGTGTTACTGCAATCCATGTGCCTATTTTGGAATATGATACTCTAAAATAAATATTTCAGGCTCTAACTCTTAGGCTGTGTTTGTACAACAGGTTTAAGTAGACAAAGGAGGGAATTAGCTTGTTCGATGCACCCACTGCCCCAGACAGCATTGGAATTAGAAATTTAACCCCAAACAGCCTGGAGTTATTTTAGATTAAGTTGAGTGAATAAGGAATAGAGCATTAACACTGGATTAACTCTTTCTTTTGATTTAGCACAAAGAAGAGAGCTAGCAGTTAGGGTATCCTGCTTTTCATCAGTTGTCTGCCTCTGGCACATCAGTGTAAATACTTACCCAGGGGTACTTGAAGACCTGTTCAAATCAATCATGTAAACATCACCATACTGTTTTTTCTCTAATAAAAAAGCGGGTTTAGTTGCCCCTCAAATTTTTGAGGTCAGGGCTATCAAACCTATGCTGATTTCTCTGTCAATGCCCCTTGTGACAGCTTCAGACTTCTCTGTAGAGAGCAGGAATCTTGGTATTATTATCTACTTTCATTTCAGAAATATTGCAAAAACGAATTAGCAAGTGTTGCTGTATCATATTCAGAAATGAAAAACTGTTTGCCTTCATTAAAGTCAGGAATTTCCTAGGGATAATCCAACTTCAATTGTAGGCAGGAACACATAATGAATCACATTGAGAAGAGTAAATAGCACTCTGAGGAAATAATTGCAAACATAGTTTGCCCTATTACTGTTACCCTATTTTTGATAATAGCAGATTTTTTTTTAAAAAAGGAAAATACAACTCAAGTTAACTCTAAAGGACTGATGAACTTTAAAGCATTATAACAGGTATCTTTCAGAACCTCATCACTCCTTTTAGATTTTGAGAAAAGAAATGTAGGCAGAAAACAGAAGATGTGATAGAATAACAAAGGGATACAAAGGGGTTTTTTTGGGGGTTTAACAAAAGGTTAAGTATTTTTCTCATTGAGAAAAAGATGATGATAATTTTTCAGCTGTAATTGTTCGGTATTCTAGTTTTACTTGCATTGGCTGCCATTTTGTGAATGGCTGGCCTTAGTATTTTTCAGATCCCTGAAATGATCCCTAGAAGTAGAAAGTTTGAGAATGATTGATATAAAGGAAATACTAATTAAAATGATAGGGATGATTTACAGTATTAACCACAAGATAGAAGGCTTTCTCAAAAGACTTGTTTTCATCCTCACCCCCATAATGGGATTTTTCTTTTATAAAAGCACATAACTAACTTTGCCATCATTGAGGTAAAAGATACCTTGCATATATTAAAAAAAAAAATAGGCACTTAGACATCTGATGGATTTTCCTGATTTACAGTGCAACCATATTCATTTAATGAGTCTTTTGCCCAGATAGGTGAATAGGATTGGAGCCTTGACTGTGCAGATTTTGGCTGGTTTTAAAATAATATTTGGTGTTTTCTTGTTTTTGACTTTGTTTTACATTATGCCCTGAAATATGATATGATAAAAAGTGGTACAAAAATAATCTTAACTTAGTATTTATTTCATTTCATAGGTTTCATTTATATCCTGACTGTCAGCTATAGTGAAATATAGGAGGAAAATCACTTGATTTGTATTTTTAAAATAATGCAAACTAATTCTTACTTTACAAAGTAACAGACAAATTGTAACTTAATTATTCCTTAGAATTAGAATCAAATGGAAGTCCCTAGCTTAAACAATGGCTACAAAAATTGGGAAAAAATTCATAGAAAAGTGTGCCCATGAGAAAAAAATAATATAGAAGTCATCCGTTAAGAAAATAGCTTCCAATTGTTTATCACATTCCAAAGTAAGTGTGTGTGTGTGTGTGTGTGTAAAGGTTTGATGTGTATGAGAATTTATTCAAAGGTTTTTCAGAGATTTAAAAAGCATTTACAAACCAAGCAAAAGCAATTACTGTTGGCTGCAATCTCACCTTATGGACCACAGTAGAAAAGTTGCGCTTGAAAATGAAAATATAGAAAACAAAACAGACTCATCCAACCTTAGATGAATACAAAACTGTATTATTATGTTCTGTCAGATGAGGTTCTTCTCAGAGGCTCCCAAGGAATTCCAAAGGGAAAAGCAAATAGGCTGCAGTCTGTAACTCAATTTAAGAAAGGGATAAATGCTTCTGGAATTCTTTCTCTCTCTTCCCATCCAACATAATGGGGCTAATTTGCCGTGAAGCACCTACCCATTCTTTGACCCTTCTAGCACCAAATCATTTTCTTTTTCTGATAGCACTGGCATTTTATACATCTAAGCAATTACTACTAGCAGTTTAAGACTGCAATCTCATTTTATAGACCAGAGAGCATCTGCAGCCTCAGAGCAGCATATAGTTATCTGTAGCCCTGTCTCTGTCCCCAGAGCACTTCCCAAAGTAATTTCTAATTAATACAAGGGAGAAATTATTACATATTTGGGTGTAATCATATTAATTGAATTTAATTGCATTTATTGGTTAAATCAAACCAAATTTAGGGGGGTTTTTTGGTTCCCTTATTTTAGAGAGTAGTCTCAATCTGCCACAAGTGTAGCTCTTAGTCCAAAAAGCTATGCACGCTTCCTTCAGACGTTTTGCTAGGAGTAAGTCTGATTCAAGAAAGCAAAATCATTTTTGAGTGGTCATGCATGGGATTTGGGTGTTACATACGGCATGCTCTTCTAACTTCTTTGTAACTCAACAACCCAAGTTTCTTTTTTAACTGGGCCTTTGCCTGTACCATACGTCTAGAAAAATGTTTAGATATAAATTAAGGGAGAAGTAGATTATTCATCACAACGTGTCTAAATAATTCATATATCTAAGACATTACCTTTAATGGTAGTAGTTGCAACCATGTTCAATGAGGTGGTAGCTTTGGAAGAAAACACAGAGTGAGTTTTATGCTTGGGAGATAAAGTGATCATATCCTTTTGAAATATGGCAATAAATTACATATTCAAGCATACCTGAAAGCAAATTTTAAATGTATTATTCTGGGTTTCCATCTTACAAAACTGGCTGTTCCTTTTTGTGCTGTTGCATCGGTACATGAAACTTCTTTAGCTTTATTATTTTAATATGCACCCTTTTCTCCCCTCTGCAAAACAAATTGTCCCCCTTTCCTTCAAATGTGGATACTTTTATTGCTCTTTTGAGTTATATTTCTCTTTGGTGCAAAGCAGCTCTAGGAGGCTGCAGGTCTGAGCAGAGGAGGGAAAAGCAGGGCTGAAGACAGCACATATTCCCCATTGCTTTCCCCCAGTTCCCCTGCCTGATAAAATTCCAGATGGGAATTAACAAAAGTTAGGCAGAAACCCAGTAAATTCCACTGAATCCAATGGGCTTTGCATCTGAGAAATGACATTAAAAATTGCCTATTCCTATCCATTGGGTGCATAATTTTGAACAGAAAAATGGTGAGCAGAAAGGAATACTCATAATAGACAAAGAGAGAGTTTATGTACTTGATCTATTTCTTGTTTCTGCAACAGAGCAGCCTCCTGCCATTACATTTATAGATTTCGACCAGACTATCAGATGAATCTTATTCTACTCCTAGCAGGGGTGTCTGCAGCATGAAGGGTTTAAAAAAAGTAAAAAACTGAAGCCTCGTTGTGATGCATATAAAAGGGGCAGGGGTTTGAGCAGATATTGTGGCCATCTTGAGTTTTTCTTTACACCAGCTCCCCACAGACAACCCTGAACCCTCGTTGTCAGGCAGCATCTTTCATCCCATTTGAGGGGGCATATGACACCCAACCCTGTATTCCCACATCCCACTGCGACTCAAGTTTCTGCTGTTTGAGGCAGCACTCCCATTCAGTCTCTTGTTATTCCATTACTGCATGGGGCTTCTATAAAAAATGCCTTGTAAACATGGACATCTGCTAAACGTGATCAAGAAAAAAATTACAAAATGTTTGTCTGATACCATAACGCCCATTCAGGCTTGCATCTCCATATCAGGCTTAAGTATGTAAGTCATATGGTTTGTGTTATGATGACACAAGTCATGTTTGGACATTTGCTCCCCTGCAGACATCTATAGTTGTGAATGAGCTATAAAAACATGGTCTGCCTCATTCTGATAACATCATTGGCACAAAATGACATATCGCCACAAAACAACAGATTAAAATATTAATTTGAAAAGATGCGTTCCCCAGCTGCAAATAATTGCCTGTCTCTTAAGCAGAGGATTAATTTATACTTGAAACAGTATCCATGCAACAGAATATTATAGAAATGTAGTACAGAAGCCTTTAATGCAATCAGTGGGTGATCAAGATTTTTAAAAAATGTTCATTTACACAATGTATATAGTTATTGTAGCATTTCAAGCAGTTGTTCATTCAAGAACTTACTGTTTGCTGCTGAAGTGGCATTCATCATGGGAGACCCTATAGAAAGTATATTCAATACTCAAGATTAAAATTTTATTTTGCAGTTTTAAGCTACCAACTGAGTTGAATAAATAGTTTGAAATTTAGCATGCCTTTTTTTTTTAGTATCAGTTGACTTACTTGCTTAATAATAGCAATATGGTTATATTAGGAATCCAAACTATGACACCATTTGAACAAATAATAATATGTATGGAATTTCAGGAAAACATTAATATAATGTATGCACAGTATTGTTAGATGCAGACTTCAATAAAGATGACATAGAGTTTTCTAGGAAAAAGATTATGGAATAAATATAGGGGGAGAAACATGACTGGAATCAAATATGCATATCTAAATAACTTAGAACTATTTCTGCTCAAACTAAAGAAATTATCTTAACATTGATCCACAACTAGAACCTTTCCCAAATTGACTGTCTTGAATTTATAAAAAATCTAGTATTGCATATCTATATAGGTGGCTACATTTTGGTTGAAATATTTATAGAAATAACAAAAATATCTTCAGATCTCCACATAGGCTTATTACATCTGTTTTAAACAGAGATAAAATAATAAAACATGAAATTTGATTAATCTGTTTATTATCTGCTGCAGGAGATGTTATTGCTAGATTTTTAAAATCATTAGAAAATAGTTCAATAGAGTTTGGTACAGCAAATATGGAATATTGCTATGTTAGGCAAATTGGTTTGTAAATTACATTGCCACAAAGTAGAGGTGTCACAAAATCAATTTACATTAGTTTGGGGGTGTTTTTATAAACCAGATGGAGCAGTGTAACAACAACAAGGGTGCATTGGAATATCTGCAAGAAATACCATTTGCCTGCAAGCAAGAACT